GCTCCCGTCTTTGTTCAGACATAAACTTCAACTCAGGGATTATGAAAAAAAACTAAGACCAGAACATTATCTTTTTTTGCTAGCTTTCTTTGTAGCGCTAGCCGTGACCACAGCAATCGAAGTCACCTTAACGACCAAGTAAGGTGTTAGCTAAAGAGCTAGCTGCTATTTCAGGAAGCAGATTTTGCTCAAAAGTTAGTTCTCACCTAAAAGAACACGGGTACATTTCAGTTCACAGGGACCATTAGCATTTTTAGCTCAGGGAGTGGTTAGCTCAGGTACATTTTTATAGCGATTAGCCCTGAGCTACATGTACATCTGATGTGTAGCTGTTAGCTGTTAGCTCAAAGCACAGACAGTTAGCTGGAACCACCTTATCTTTATTAACTGCTACCTCTGAAAAGGTACAACTTCAGACGCAGCCATTAGCTCATTAAGCTAACTGCATCGTTAGCATTGACCACATGTGTTTTCTACCAAGGAAGAGAAATTGTTTTGTAAATGAAGTTGAATATGTTTGATTAAAAACATCATTTGAATCTTTGGTAGAATGTCATTTCTTTATTTTTTTTTTACTGTTTCTGTTTCATTCCTCCTGCTGTTCGCCGTGTGTGATGATGTAACACAGAGATTTATAATCCAGGTTTCCTGCAGGGTCGATGTCTGATGACTGGAACATCTGCTTCACCTGAAACCACCAGGTTTAGGTTAATAAAAACTAGAACTCCACCGTCTGTGACACGACACACACACAGATAAAAACGTTACCTCCTCGGCTGAGAACCTGTCGGCCTGCGTCATCAGTAACGTCTGTAATCTGGAGCAAACGGAGAAAACTTAGACAACGGTTGCATTTATTACACATCGGAGATTTAGGTTTCAGTGCGTTGTCGTCGACTTACTCGTCCTTTTGGACGTAGCCTTTAGCATCGGGGTCAAACAATTTGAAAGCATTTAAAATGGTGTCCTCAGGGTCGGTGCCTGAAGGAGAAATCAAATGTAGCTTAGCAGTGGTTTTCAAACTGAGGTATGTGGACTAGTGGTGGGCGTTTGGCCCCCTCAAGTGGTGCCCGCAGGAATCGTCCCGTTCTCATTAGGTGAGTCAGTTATATCCAGCTTTGGTTGATAAATGAGTAATTATTGTATTAGTAATGTATTTTATTTGTGTACTTTGTTGCTGTACTACTGTTGCTCATACTGATGGTACTTGGAGTGACAAGTATTTGGTGAGTATGGTACTGGGTTCTATACGGATTTGTCAAGTTAAATTTCTAATCAAATACTTTTCTGGAAATTTCAAATGGATTCAGGTTAAAGTCTACAGTTTCTGAGTTGTACTCGTGTATTACTGTAAGTACTGATACAACAGTGTGTACAAGTCTCACCGTGGAGTTTTTCTCCAAACAGGTTGAGGAACATCGTGAAGTTGATGGGACCTGTAGCTTCCTTCAGCATGTCCTCCAGCTCGTTGTCCTTCACGTTGAGTTTCCCTGAAGAGTTCAAACCGACACCATCAACAGGCGCCGAGGACTCTGGGTAAAACACACACCTGTACTGCAGTATAATCTGCACCAGAGTCCACAGAGGAAAACTTCAGTGGTGTGAGTTTTTACGACTTCAGTATCTAATTAACCCTTTCATGCATGACGGGCACTACAGTGGACGCCTGAGAAACCACTGTAGAGGCTTATATCCAACACTGCCATCAAACCCTATTCTTATCATAGAAAATGGCATTTTAATAGCTGTCCACTGTAGTGACCGTCATGCATGAAAGGGTTAAGGCTAACAACTGATGAAAGCTGTTTTTTTACAGGTTTTTTTACATGGACTTTGGTTCTTAATTCAGCTGCTTGGACTCAAATAGACATAAAAATCAATAACTAATATATTTACTACCTGGACGACCAAGAACCTGAGTTTTTCCTAAACCTGTGTGGCTACAAACCCAGAGAAGCGTACGTGTCCTTCAGATCCTCCTTGTCAATGAATCCGTCACGGTTTTGGTCGATCAGTGTGAACGCCTGTGACGTGAAAACGAAATGATGATGATGTCACCAGCCTGAACAAATGACCGGGTAACAGTTCTGAGTGAACGCGGTGACGTCACCTCCTTGAACTCCTGGATCTGAGTTTGTTCAAACATGGAGAAGACGTTCGA